GTAGGGACTTGTACGCTACCTCAGTTCTACACTCACAGGCCTAGATGGGGAAGAAGAAGAGGAGAAATGAGCTAGTAAGCACAGATTTATCTTTTCGTAGGACCTCACACTAGGCTGTGTCTTTCATTTTAGAAAAGAAACCCAAACCATCCACAGGCACTGATATTTGACAGATATTGATTGATTTGCACACAAAATGGGACAGCTTCTCTTTCAGCTGAGGAGGAAAAGTTTTGGCGAGGAAAAAATATTGTTTAAGCCATAAGCATCGATATGAGGCAGCAAATTGCTCACCACTAAGTAGTAATACAATCAGTTTTAGGCTTTTATAATGACTCACTATAATGCTTTGTCAGCTATTATTGCCCAAGCTGTCTCCCTTTCTGGTTTGGGCAGTTTCCTCCTTGAAAACTCACTTATAAACCTGTCAGGTGTGCTTGTGTGTGCACCTGTCAGAAAAAAAGGTTACAATGACCTTACCATCTGCATCATAATTCACGGAAATATGGTAAGAAATGCTTAGTTACTGTCAACAAAAAAATGCATGCCAAACATTTCTGCTACTGCATGGTATTTAATATAGTATTTTCATTTATGATTACAAAGAACAGCTTGTTTTGTCTGCCATGTCTTCGGTGAGGAGTTCTTGACATGGGTGAGGAACGGCGCCACTTTGCTATTCTAAATTCTGCACTCATTTTTTTTCTATTTCAGAGGGTCCCATTGCAACTGTATGCATGAAACAGTTTTTCTCCCCATTTCAAAGGCATCTTCATTGACAAATGAAGAAACTGAAGGCAGCACGCTGCGGCATTGAAACCAAATGAAAAAATACTGATTCAGATCCACAATACAAATCTCTGATCTTTTCTCCTTTTCATTTTGCGTTACGGTTTTTGCTCTGCGATGGAAAATTAGAATTGCAAAGGGATAGTGTCTCAGTGCCATTTTCTGACAAGAATCATGTCACCTGCACACCCTTGTAAAATGTGTGAATAATGTAACCTGGACGCCCTGCAAATGCTTTATCTGCTCCTACATGAAAAAGGCATTGTATTAATATCGTTTGGTAATGGGCTACTTCAATGACAAGAGACAGAGAAAAAACTGCAACAGCCTGCTGTCTTCTCCTTTCCGGAGAGCGGAAAAATCAAAATGCAATTTATGAGGCAAAGAGGAAAGGTTCACGAGCCCTCGGGAAGCAATTTTAAGTAAGGTAGCATGTCAAAATGAAACTCCAGAATACCTTCAGAAAAGCGTAGGAGAATCTTTAGGGAGACAAAGAGTACTATGGACAGCCCTGGAAAATTAAGCAATGAAGAAACTTAATCATGTTTATCTGATTTCTGGCAGAACGGTGTTTCTTATCCCACAAACTGGGTATGGCAGCGAGAGTGTGGAAGGTGTGTAGCAGAACACCTTTGCTCTGTGTACTTCTCTCAGCGTACTCCAGGAAGTTTTCTCCCACCTAAAGATCCTCTTCAGTGTTATTAAATTGCCTCGTCCTCCACAGAGCCTCTACAGTCCCTGCGTAATTAGCTACGTCTAAGATTAAACAACATGCAGCTTTTTCACTTAAGGGAGCTTAGTGTTCCAAGCTGATTTCCTACTAACCTTTCTCATATAAAAATACTGGGATTATTTATTACCTCTGCCACGCAAAGACAGTGCGACATGGCACTTTCAGTTTGACATGATGCAAAGCGGAGGGTTTTTGTGTTCCTCTAGCAGGCTAATACGTTACATGTAAACCCAAACACCTTTAACACCAGGCACGCTTAAGCAAATTAAGATCAGTTTCACCACCAGAATTACAGTGTTTAATCTTGCTTCTAAAGACAACCTGAAGGAAAAATACAAAGAAAACAGGTATCTATTTGAAGCAAACAGCTGTTCAGAAAGGAAACAAGCAACTTTTCTCCCATTCAAGTTTCCATAAAGGATACAATCCAGCAAGAGTTTAGTAAGTGACTGGTATGCTGACAAGTCTTGCATTTTAGGTATTTGATTGTATGAAAAATCTACTTCCTAAAGAAAAAAGGAGACAGAAAGTTACTTTTTTTTCTTCAGCACTTGCAGCTGTCTTGTGAAACTAAACGGCTGTTACATTAAACTTGCGATCAAGGGTGTAGAAGAAATAAGAAGATCATTAATATTGGGACATAACCAGAAAGGGTCTTTTTTTTATGACACATAGAATTCACATTTTGGGAACTTCCAAAACTATACTCTTCCAACAACATTATCATTAATGGTCCTGTAATTATGCATACATATTAAAAAAAATTAACAGAGAAGACAGAGAAACATGTAACGGTCATATTTCAAAACAACCTCCTGCTTTTTATAACCCAAAGTGGGCAACAAGAAAACAACAGCAAAGGGAAGACTAGCACACAGCTACCCTTTAAGTACGTGTTTCACAATAACGAGTGGCACCAGTCAATTTGAAACGTAGGAACTGATCCCACTGAAAGTCTGACGAATTTGAGAAGCAAGGAAAAAATTCTGGCTATATTTACCTCTGGCTAGAACAGTTAGCTGTACAACACACCTTCCCGTGGCATGCCAGGGTTCAGAGTGTGCAAGAAAATAAAAGACTCAAACGTGCAGTGTAAAATATCCAAACATTTGGAAAAGCTATTAAAATGTCAAATGAGGTAAGAAAGAAGAATAAGGAAGGCATAAAAATTCGCTTTTGCGCGTGTCCAAATACAATTTCTAAATTAGATTTAGAAAACGGTTTTGAATTTAAACCTATAAAATGCATTTTTTGCAACTTACCTTGAGATTTTTAGGTGGCTTAAAAACGAAATACGTAGTCAATTCATTGTTGGAAGCATCCAGTTCTAGTAAGTGAGGCATGTGACTGATACAAGAAAGATCTAGTAACAAAACAGAATGTCAAATCCTGTACATGAATGCACTGGTAAATGCAGAGATCATCATGTCAAAATGTGATAATTATGTCCAATAGCAATCAAGAATCAATTTGTAGTTACACATTCAGAAAGCAATGTTTGAAATGCAGAAATCGGATATACTAACACCTTCTACTAGAAAAAAAGATGGTTTCTAAACCACGAAGAATAAATATTGAAAGTTCTACATTAGATTTCCGTTATGTCAACTGATTTGTCTATAAGCCAGAATACAGTTTTATATTCTAGCTACCTCTAGAATGACAGAGAGACTACCTCTGTCCTAAGTTATTAATTAGTGGAGAAAAATATTTAGGCCACTACTGAAGACTAAATGACTAGTTGCTATGGAAAAGTCCCTGCTCTGTTCCAACCTAGCCTTCACAGGCAAACTGTTAGTAAAATGAGCACGGAGAAGTGCCGCCTTACAAAAGTGCTGCTATTATTAGACTCCAGCACCTCAAGTGAAATGAACTTGAAAGAAATAATGCAACAGGCTGCCATCACAGCTTATTCCTTTTGCTGTTGAATTAAAAAATGAGTGGGGGAGTACAAGGGAGAGGGAAAGA